ATGGCCTGCACCCTCCACTAAATAAGCCTCTGTGGGGCTGCCACAGGTCTGTGTCAGTCTTTATCTCCAAGGCCCAGCACCATGGCTGGCATTGCATAGGTGCCCCATGCCTGTGAAGTGCAGTGGCTACGCGAGAGACATGTGTGAAAGATGGCTGGCAGGGCTGCAGATGGCCAGCGAAGGACTTGACTAAGACCAGTACCTCAGGAGAAAAAGCTGCCTTGGAGAAGAAAGGCGCAGGGACTGGGGCAGTGTGAGCATCCTCTTGGGTGGGATACACCTCTAGTTAACGAGACAAAACTTGGCTGTAAGTCTAAAGGAAACTCAGAAAGAGCTCCAAAGCAACTCTAAGGGTAAAGGAATATTTCTCCTGTTTGTGTCCCAGAGTGGGTGTCTGTGTTAACTGCTTTGTAAAACAGTAGAGATTATAAATAAAAGTCTGTGGGTAGCAACAGAAAAACAGCACACTCCTCTTCAGTGTTTCTAGGTCTGTCTGGCCCCATCTTCCCTGGGTCAGGGATCCACTAGGCTCAGACTGGAGAACGCAGTCTCCTCTGGGTGGCAGTAAGGAGCTCAACCTTCCATCTCTTCCTGCCCAACCCCCCCCCCCCCCCACTTTCTTCCCCTCCCCACTTCAAGCACAGGCTGGGAGATGACACTATAATTATGTATAAAAGGCAGATCTCAAATCACCTTATGGTAGCCTTATTCTTTGACTGGCCCTTAGTCTTTCAACATTTTATAAGGTATATGACATTTATTATGGTTACTGTCGCCATTTTTTTTAAAAATCAACATACCAAAGTTCCTATCTTGCAGTTTTTGCTCTGTTGTTCAAACCAGTGTTTCCCAATTGGCAACCCAAAGCTCTTTGGGGGTAAAGTGGAATACATTATTTCAATTCACTGAAGCTCTTCTCTGTGCCTCTGGTCTACTACAGAATAGTAGGAATTGCTTAGGTGCATGGCATTTACAGATTATTGACCTACTGCCATTTGACCTTGCAGAACACATAAGAATGCTCAATTCATTAAAGACTTCGTATTCACACTTTAAACATTCTCTATGACCATTATGTTTACCTTTCTGTGAATCATTTCTACTAAATGTGACCTTTCTCAGCTGTTTATTCTATTCATTTAAAAACAGATATACAAACTAATCAGTGAAACATGTGATTTAAAAAATAATCATAAAGCAAACATCCAGATCCCAAAACAGAATCCTCTCCAGACCCAGAAGACCCCCATGCACCCCTCCCTGGCCACCTCCTTCTACTTGCCCAAAAGGAAACAACTATGTTAATCATTTCTTTGCTTTGCCTCATAGTTTTACTACTTACATATGTATCCTAAATATGGCTAAATTTTGCCATTTTTTAATTTTATACAGATGGAACATACTGTATCTATTCTTTGGTTGGCTTCTTTCACCCCATATTGTGACTAATCATATAACTGTAAATAATGCTAGTTTTTTCCTTTTCATTGTTACGGCATATTTCAAAGGATAATTATAATAAAATTTTGTCTACTGGATTAATGTAAGTTTGAATTGTATGGTATATTTAGTTATTACAATTGTATGCTATATTTAGTTATTATACATGTGCAAGAGATTCATTGGCGTTTAAGTTGTAAATACTCCAATTTCACTAGATAAAATTCCTCAAAGTGATTGTATGTTATAGATACCTGTAATATATGATTTTCCTTGCTTCACCTGTTAAAACTTGTTACTATCAGCTCTTAAGAATGACTCTTGGATCTGGCAGGTGTCTTAACAGCATTGCCTTGTGATTTTCATTTTCCTTTCAGTGCTTACTGAGGATGCTGGTATTTCCACATAGTGGTCATTTGCAATTCCTCAGTGCTGTTGTACTAGTTAGGCTTTTTGTACCTTTCTAAAATTAGATTTTCTAGGGCCAGCCAAATAGCTCAGCTTATTAAAGCACCTGCTTAGGCAGATGCAACAGCCAGGGTTTGATCCCTGATGTGCCATGTCAGCCCTGGGGCGCTGAGATGGCAACTGAGACTGGGTGTGATGGCACACATCTGTAATCCCAACTCTTTGGGAGGCTGAACACAGGCGGATCACTACAAGTCTGATCTATGTAGTGAGACCCTGTAGACCCTGCAGACCCTCATTAAAAAATACAAAAATAAAAATAAATAAAATTAGATTTTTTATTTATTGGATTTTTTTTAATACATTATAGGTATTTTTCTTTTTTTTTTTTTGGCGGAACCGGGGATTGAACTCAGGCCCTTGCGCTCGCCAGGGAAGCGCTTATTCTACTGAGCCATCTCCCCGGCCCCTATAGGTATTTTCATTAAGCATTCTGCAAACTTTTCCCACATTGTGATTTGTCTTTTCCAGTGTTTTGATAAATAAAAGTCATTCATTTTTAGGTAGTTGTAATTTATCAGTCTTGTAGGGCTGAAAACTTATTATTTTTAATAGTTATTGTGCATTTTATTTATTTATTCATTTATTTATTTATTGCCAGCTCAGCCTGCACTGGGCGCAGGGCTAGCACAGCACGTGGTGCCAGGAATCAAATCATGGTCCCTGCACTTGCCTAAGCAGGTGCTTTAGCCCACTGAACAATCTTGCCAGCCCCTAAAAATTTATTTTTTATCCCCAAAATCACAAAAATATTTTCTCATTTAGGTTCACATAATTTATCTGAAATCATCTTGGAGGAAGAAGTATTTGGAACATAGATTTTTAAAATATCAGTATGGTACTGTGGAACACACCCTATGTACTATATAACACTCTCCACACAAATTGAAACAGTGCTCAAATACATGAACATTTCTACAACAAAACATACATAGTTACCTGATACATACATAATAATTATACAAAGTCTTGTATCACTTCAAGGCCTATTTTTCACCAAATGGGTTTCAAAGAGTTTGGTGTTTCAGTTTGGTGCTTTTGTACTTAAAGTTATATCAGCCTTCTGCAGCAACAGTGGCACTGTCCAAACTTGGAGGAAGCTAGTGGAGGGAGTGAGGCACCTGGAATTTGTCTACAGAAGACAAATTGCTGATGCTTTGTAGTTCACACTGGCCTTCAGCTACTAGCCCAGTTGGCCTTGAACTTGTAGGGATCCTCTTGCCTCAGCCTCCTGAGTGCTGGGATTAGAGGCATCCACCACCATACCTGGCCTGATTCAAATTGTTTAAGTTTAGCACTATTAGTCATACTCTGCACTGGGTCGGTGCATTACTGTCCCCAGCTGGCACCAAACTGGCTCCATGTAGCACTGCTTTTCCCATTCCATTGACTTCTGCCCTTCAGATTATTTCTGTGTATGTACTTTCTCATTTTGCTCTTCTTTTCCTAACTTCTTAAAGATGACTGTTTGGCCTAAGACATTTCAGACTCGTTTCTAATATATTTACTTGTGACTCGAAATGTCCCTCTGAGTATTCTATTGCTTCATTCCACAGATACTTAATTGTTCAGTTCAAAATATTTCCTCATTAACACTGACATCTGTCTATGACTTACATGTACTTGTTCTTACAGCTTACTGATTTCTACCATAATTGCACTTTTCAATCTTCAAAATCTGTTAATAACTGCTTTAAAACTAAGTATGTACTCAGTTTGGCAATGTGACATTCAAGCATGCCATGGTTCCATTCTTTAAACAACAGATATTATGATCCTGGTTGTGTTTTTCTCAATATTGACATCGTCAAGTTTGTAAATCGTCACTTAAATTTTCTGTATCTAAAATTTTTCTCTTGCTGAGAAAGACCTGTTAAAATCATCCCATATGACCATTTATTTTTCCTCTTAATTCTATCAAGTTTAACTTTTTGTTTCACATAAATACATAATGTTTGTGCGTCACTCTTGCTTAGCCACGGGGATACATTCTGAGAAATGCTTCATTAGTTGAGTTGATCATTATGGGAACTCTCGCCACCATAGGGCACACTTCAACACCAAGACAGTGACATGGAAACACCACCACCATACAAGGTACATGGCCCATGACTATATACTGTATCATTACTTACTCATTTTAAACTTAAAATGCACTTCATTTTTCAACGCAGAAGTCATTTGAGATTTCTTCCATTCCTTCTATATTTCATCAGTTATACTTAAGTGACACCTATCTTTATAAAAACTGGCCTTGACAAACAGTGTAATAGTGCTGGCTCTAGTAAAGCTAGAGCCTTCCACTATCACAGTCCATTAACTGTTGGGAACTTCATCTCCTACTGTAGAAAACGTCTGGTGAAGCTGAGCTTCACGCCACCACCACGAAAACCCAGCCACGTCGCATATACAGGATCAAGCAAGCATCAGCACCGAGTGCAGAGCAGTAAACTGTGGAGTTAAGATGTTCGCGCAAAGAACTTCGACAAGGCCAGCTGATGGAGCAGAAGTAAGAAAATGGATGGAACTTGAGACCATCACACTAAGCGAACTAAGTCAGATACCGAGAGTTAAATACTGCATGGTTTCTGTCACATGAGAAACCCAACTATAGATAGAGTCAAAGAAAGGCAGACGTTTTGGAGGATGGGAAAGGGGATCGAAAACGATTAAGAGTTACACGATGTGCCAATCCCCTAGGATGAATATATACTTTATGTACTGCAAACATACACAGTGTCGATTAAAAATCTGAAGTAGTTTATTTTTCATGGCTTAAGATACCTTAATGTCCAGGGAGAAAAAGTCATCGCTGAGACTATGGCATGGGCAACGTTTATTTCTCCCGAAGCCCCAACTCCCTCGCGCTCGTCCCGGGCGCCCCGCCTTTCGGGTGCCGGGTCATCCTGCTTCTCTACCCGCGGCAGCGGGGGTGCCGCCGTGGCTCTGCAAGCCTCAGCCGAGCTCTCCTTCCTCCCCCGACGCGGTCCGCAGTCGGCACCGAGCGCTCTTTTGTGGTTTTGTTTTCTGGGACAAGGTCTCCTTAGGGAGTTCAGGCTGGCCTTGAACTACCTACACAGGCTGGTCTCCAATTCGTGGCAGACCTCCTGCCTGTCTCTCAAGTGCCAGGACTACAGGCCTGCGGCCCGTCACAATCGCGAGGCGCTGCTCCTGGAAGAAACCGGTGGTCAAAAACCCGCAGCGCTGGAGCCACAGTCCGCCTTCGCACTTCACTGCCAGACCCCGCGCAGCAGGTGGCCCCATACACCGGAAGTCCTGTGCGCAGGTACAGCGCCCGACCGGAAGTCCCGCCCCCGCGGCCACCGATAACCCGGAAGGACTAATCCGAGAGCTGCGGGCCCGCTCTCCGCAGCAACCACCTGCCGTCGTCTGTGACCCGAGCCGGTGAGGAGCCTTGCAGCGCCGGGCCCCGGGCCTCCCGCTCTCCCGCGCGCGATTTGGTGCGCCGCAGGACCCTCGGGGAGGCGCGCGTGGGGCTGGTCGGGAGGGAACGGGCGAGGAGGGCTGTGGCCGGGCCGCTGCAGGGAGCCGGAGCACCTCCCCGCGACCCCGTAGCGTGGCTTAGGAAAGGAGGCGGTGACAGCCCTTGCCTTGCCTTTTGCTCACTTGGCAGGGTCAGTTTTAAGGTCAGATGTCGGTTTGTCCCACAGTTGGCTCCCAGCGGGGATGGCAGCCCCCTCCATGAAGGAGAGGCAGGTGTGCTGGGGAGCCCGCGACGACTACTGGCAGTGTCTGGAAGAGAACGCCGAGGACGCCTCGCGCTGCCAGCAGCTGAGGAAGTCCTTCGAGTCCAGCTGCCCCCAGCAGTGGGTAAGTCCCGCCGGGCGGGCCCTGCGTGTGGCTGCACGGGAAAATGCGTCGCGCTCACCCTAATCCAGGCTGGGGAGCAAGGTCGTCCAAGGGGTCGAGGAACCTAGTGGCCGCCTACGGGGAGGAGAGACCTGTGGAGACCGAAGCCGGAGTTCTGACTGAGTGTTGTTCCAGAAAGTTAACAGTGGCCTCTAACGTTTTAGGGCATTTCAACAAAGAAGAGAGGATGCAGTACAGTGCTCCATTGACTTCTGCGGCCTGAGCCGGCGGCAGCACCTTTCCAGGCCATAGCTGTTGTCGCCTGCAGACCTCGTCTTTCTTGGTCCATGATTGAATTCACCTAGTCCATCAGCCCGGCCCCTTCAGTGGCAGTACTGGGCTCCTGCTGGCCTAGCTGAAGCCTTGCCTCTCCCTGTTACTTACTTTTGACTCACTGAGTTGTCCAGGCTGGGCTCAAATTTGCAATCATCCTGCCTCAGCCACCCAAATTGGAGCAGTGTTTTAACCATCTCAGAGCAAAGCAGAGCTGTGCATAAATAGATCCTCAACAGCTCTGGACTGAGAAATGGACCCAGGATATTCTGTCTGATGACATTAAAGACCAAAGGTCACATTCAAAAATCCGCATTTCAGGTCCTGCAGCTGCATTAACTATCAAGTCTGCCTCTCTGTGAAGGTGCCCTAGATCCCCGAGGCAAAGGAGGACCTTGCTGATGAACTTGAAAGAGCAAACTTTGGATTGACTGTTATTTTAGAGAATAGGGTTATTCTCTCTGAATAAGAAAGCAGTTCCCACACCATGGAGGAGTTCCCCTGGACTGTGGTTGTTGCATTGCATCCCTTGGAGAAGCACTGACTTTTCACTCGCTTTTTTTTTTTTTTTTTTTTGATTTTTTTTTTTTTTTTTTTGGATACGGGGTTTCATTACACAGTTTCAGGGCTGGCGCGTGCACCCAGGTTTAGCATGGGGCACCTGGGATTGAACTAAGCACCTTCTGCTTGCCAGGCAAGTGCTTAGACCACTGAGCTATCTCCCCAGCCCCTCACCTGCTCTTTGGTGTGTTATCCACCTGTTTGTAGGGTAAGGCAGATCTCCACATTCTCAGTCCATGTTAACTTTTACCTATAAGCCCTACTGGGATATTAACCTCCAAGAAAGGCTTTTTAAAAAGAACTGTTGATTTCAATCCACCAATACAAATGTGGGGTATTTTGCCTTTTCCTGGAATGCAGAGCAGGACAGATACAGATGCTGCAGTAGTATCATTGCTGACGCAGTATGCATTTTCTACTTCTAGATTTTACTATATCAAGTTAGGTTACTTTAAGATTCTTTAAATTCCATATGGATATGAATAAAATGAAGTTTTTTAGATACTGAAGGTGCTGGGGATGATGGTGCACTCCTATAATCCCAGCACTTGGGAGGCAGAGGCGGGAGGATTGCCACAAGTTTTGAGGCCTAAGCTACATAGTGAGTTGAAGTTTGAACTACAAAGCCAGACCCCGCCTCTACCCTCGCTCACCCTGCCTCCAATGCCAAACAACCTGGTGTTTTACCATCAGTTTACCTACTCATAGCGTACTTGTGAAGTATATATCTCAGGTGTTCTGGGTGAGACGTAAAAAATGTGATGGCAGATAAATCTGAAGATTGAGATGTGTAAGAGCACTGTGTAGACTCAGCTTAACAGGAGGCTCTGACGTGCACACAGTCATTTCCTGGGAGGGTCCTAGGCCATTCTAGTACTCAGCAGGATCTGTCACCCAGAAGGGGCCAGGCCTCGCAAGACTGCGTGCTTCTCAGAGGGTCCCTTACTAGATCACTGGTGCAGAATGGTTCCAGAATATAAATCACTTTTTTTTCTATACACTGTGTATTGGTAATTTACTTATTTAGTATTTAATACAGCGTCTACAGGGTCTCACTACACAGATCGGACTTGTAGTGATTCTCCTGTTCTCAGTCTCCCAAGCGCTGAGATTTTAAGCATGTGCCACCACGCCTAGTCTCAATCACTGTCTCGTCAGCGCACGGGGGTGGGGGTGGGGGGGTGGTGGTGGTGGTGGTGCAGCATGGCACACCCAGGGTTGAACCCCAGTCCCTGTGTCTGCCTAAGCAGGCACTTAGCCAGCCCAATAATTTGTTATATTTAAATCTGCGCTTTTGCTCATGTAAGCTGCAACACATGTCCTGATGTTGAACTTTTTTTTCTTAACAGATAAAATATTTTGATAAAAGAAGAGACTACTTAAAATTCAAGGAAAAATTTGAAGCAGGACAGTTCCAGCCTTCCAAATCACCTGCAAATGCCTAGGCTGTTCTTGAACTTTTCACAAAAGTTGACACTCTTCTTTCTGGCCATTCAGAAGGGCTGTGTTGGTCCTGGACAGTGCTGAAGCATGGTGCGCGCTGATGCTTGCTCCCTGTGTACTGTAGCTGGTGAGGAAAAGGACCAGTACCAGGGGACCACACCCTTCAGACTGTGAAGAACAGAAATAAAATGGCGCTGAGTATGTGCAGTTTTAATTTAGTAAGAAAACTGTTTTAAGAAAAAGTAAAATCCTGCTATAAAAGCACATTTTTTTCTTTTTGGCAGCAGAAACTGAGTCAAAGGCAAGTATTATTTACAGGAGATAACAGTGTAGATAAAAGCTGAAAGGGGCAAGTACTGTGTTCCAGGGAGTGGCTTTTTTTTTTTTTTTTTTTTTAATGTATGTAGTACTGGGTCTACAGGGTCTCACTACACAGATCCCACCCGATTTGTAGTGATCCTCATGTTTTCAGCCTCCCAAGAACTGGGATTACAAGCACACACTACCATGCCCAGTCTCAGTTGCTGTCTCAGCAACCCCTCCCCCCCAGCAGGCACTTTAATCTGCAGAAAGGGAGTGGCATTTTCACATAAACTACAAAATGAGATTGGAAGAAAATAAAGCTTGAAATACTCAGGTAAAATAATAGAAAACTATTAACACAGCTTATAGGCATACTGAAGAGCAAGAAAAATGACTGTATTCCAGCTAGTATACCAAGGGGGGAAAAAAAGCATATAGATTAGGAAGGAAAAAATAAAATTGGCACTATTCACAAATGTTATCATTAACTTTAAAAAAAATCCAAAGAAAAAATACATATGAATCACATTTCTTTTTCAATTTATGTATTTGGTACAGGGTCTTGCTATGCAACTTAGACCTGTAGATCTTCCTGTTTCAGCCTCCCCAGAACTGGGATTACAGCTGTGTGCCACCACACCTGGGTCTCAGTCCTGGTCTCAGTGGCTGGCTTGGGCGTGCCTGGGGTGGGGCCAGTGGGGCATGGAGTACTGCAGATCAAACCCCAGGCCCTAGCACTTGGTCCAAGGCAGGCGCTTAGACTGCTGAGCTGTCTCCAGCCATGAATCACATGTTTCATCAAGAACTTATATCTAGCATAAAGAACTCAAGACTTTTTCGTAGTATTAGGGATTCAGCCTGGGGCTTTCACACTGAGCTACATCCCCAGCTCTTCTTTAAAATTTGATTTAGATGCAAAATCTTAACTAAGGCACTTAAATTTCCTAGGCTGGGTTCAAACTTGTAATCCTGGTGCAGTCTTCCATAGTGTTGGGATTATAGGTGTGCACCAGCATGCCCAGCTATTTTAACAAGAAAAAATAACCCAATTTTAAAAATGAGAATATAGGGCCAGCCTGATAGCTCAGTGGACTAAAGCACCTGCTTAGGCAGATGCAGGGGCCAGGGGTTCGATCCCTGACCTGCTCTGCTGGCCCCACACCTGGGGTATGCTGAGATGGCAAATGAGATTGGGGTTGGTGGCATGTGCCTTTAATTCCATCACTTGGGGGGCTGAAAATGGGGATCACTACAAGTCCAGTCTGTGTATTGAAACCCTGTAGATCCTGTCCTAAATAAAATAAAACATAAAAATGAGAATATTATGCAGTAGGTACTTATTGAAAGAAGACGTACAATGGGAAATATATAGTCTATTACTAAATATAAGAATAATGGAAATTAATACAGCTTCATGCTGATATTACTATACATTTCTTGAATTGGCGTCACTTAAAACGCTGATATTACTAAATGCTGACAAGGATGCACAATCTATAAATTCTTTTTGTTTTAATCTTTATTTGGTGTAGGGTCTCACTGTGCAGCTTGGACTTAGAATGATCCTCCTGTCTTAGCCCTCCCCAGCACTAGGATTACAGGTGTGTGCCACCACACCCAGTTTTGGGCTGGCATGGTGAGCCAGGGGTTCTGGGACTGGCATGGCATGCAGTACTGGGGATCAAACCCAGGTCCTTGAATTTGCCAGGCAGGCACTTAGACCACTGAGCTATCTCCCCAACCCCATCAACAATCATTCTTACTGTGATAGGAATACAAGCTAGAAAAGCCCCTGGGAGAGCAGTGTTCAGAGTTAAATATATGCTGACTTACAGCCCGGCAGTTCCACTTCTAGCTATTTCACCAAATGAATTGAAGACTGTACATGAATATTTATCCATAGCAACCTTATGCATAATCACCACAAACTAGAAACCACCAGGCACTCTCAGCAGAGAGATGAATAGGCAGAAGGCTAATGTGTTTGCATGCTGGTCTAAAGTAGAAAGGAACTCGGATTCTTGCAGTATCGCATAACCCTGCAAGGTATTTTGCGGTGTGAAATAAGCTAGACCCGGTAGGCTACATAAATGCTTTGGTTGCTAGGCCTTGAAAAAGAGTATAGGACACAAAAAGTCATTGTTTGCCAGGGACTGGGGAGACAGTGGTCATGAAGGAGAGACAAAGGAACTTTTAGGGCGATAAAATCATTCTTCATGGCAGTGGTAGTGGGTGCCTGCGTATGTGTGTGATAAAACCCACACTATGCTATAAAGAGTGATTTTGCACATTAAAATAAAATCCGCCGGGGTGGTAGAACTTCTGGTATAGTACAGATTGTGAAGAATATGTCTACCCATATTGTAAATATGTGACATAACCTCACTGAAAGTGGGCAAGTGAGGGACTGGCCTAAATAACAAAGTGTTTTGACTGGACTCTGGCTAAAGGCAAAAGGAACTACACAAGGTGCCAAATCTCACAAGCTTAGCAGTTCTGAAGCTGTTTATATAATAAAGGAGAACATGTAAGTAAATACAAGCAGAACAAGGTTTTCAGAATAAACTTAAAAATAAGCAAAAGGAGGACGTTTGAATTCCAGTGCTGTGATTGGTGTCTGGTATTACTAAGAACTCCTGTCATGTTCACCTGTCTCCACTCTGGTAATACAGGGTCATCTGGACAGTCCAGCGGTGGCAGATGGGGGGCACCCACCCAAACTCCTCATGGCTTGTAGACACTGTTCAGGGAGGAGCAGCAAGAACATCTACCTCTTATTTTTGTAGCACTGGGGCCTGAACCCAGGATCTTTGCGATGAATTACATCCCCAGCCCTTGTTTTAATTTTGAGACCCAGTTTTACTAAGTTGCTGAGGCTGGACTCAAACTTTGATCTTCCTTCCTCAGCCTGTAACAGCTGTGTTCATAGATCTTGGTTTTGAACTATTCTCCAATAATTCTTCAATGATGAAGTCAAGCCTCTTTGGAGAAATGTCTAAAAAACCTATGGCATTGTATGCCAAAAAGAAAATGTTATTAAAAAGTTACAGCATATATTTATTGACAGTGCCAGCTATCCATGCTGATTAAAAAAGATAACAGAGAAAGTCTATAGAGGAATTCCAATAAAGGTAGAAGAAATGAAATGTCACTATTAGAACAAATACCACAGTCATAATGCTATAGGCAGAATCCCTCAGTGAATGCCACAGTCAGTGGGCAAAATGTAAGACTGCAGTCTCATGTCCCTCTAAAATACTAGTTACTAGGATAGTCTTGGCAGGTATCCCTAGACTGATGTCTCTCCCTCCAAGAGGGAACTTACTTTCCTACGAGGGGATAGGCTGTGCTCAGAGACTCATTTTTAACAGTGACAAGAGATAGCAGTGTATGGAGAACGTGGCAGACATTGCCTTCACCAAATGATGGAGTACCCCCAACACGATGTGCCAAACCCCTTCACCTGTCATTTCTGGGCACATACCAATTACAAAGTAGTGTCTGGATCATCAAAGACAAAGACAGACTGTCAGACATCAGAGGAGGCTAAGAGGACAGTGGCCTCGGTGACCGCTACTCCTGAATCAGCTCATGGAGTGGGAAAATGGGAAATAAAGTCCAAAGTTTGGTGGTGTGCACTATTAGCAGCCCTTATTTACTAATTTTTTTTTTTTTTTTTTTTCCCAGAACTGGAGATTGAACTCAGGCCTTTGTGCTTGCCAGGCAAGTGCTTACTCTACTGAGCCATCTCTCCAGCCCCATGATTTCCTATTTTTGATAGATAGGCTCTATCTATGTAAGATCATTTTGGAGGCATCCTATCAAAGTATATAGAAATTTTGTGCCCGGGTTTTATATACCTCTGCGAATTATTTCAATGTAAATATACAGAAGGAAAAAAAACGCAAAAACCTGGGGGCCAGGGAGATAGCTCAGTAGAATAAGCGCTTGCCTGGGCATGAGTTCAATCCCCAGTTCCGCAAAAAACCATAGGTAATGGGCTTTGTAATTTAAATAATACTAAAAGGGACTCTGACATAAGTTCATTGCTGGATGGTAATAAATGACTACTATTAGAAGTGAGAAAATCAACACTTGTGTGGGTTTCTCAGTGTCAGTAATATACAGTCAACTCCTTTGGGTCCAGGGTTATAGTTATTAAAATAGAGATTACTTGTGGCCATTATCTGATCTTTAAGTGTCTACAAGAAATTTTATAAAAATATGGCCTGATTTCATTTATGTGTATAGCCTCTAGTTGCATCCATTTACCTATGAAAAGCCTCAAGTTTATCTTTCTTTATAGCTAACACTCCATTGTATAAAAATACCACCTATTTTTTGTCCATTCCTCAGCTGACCGGCATTTGGGTTGTTTCCAAGATTTAGCTATGACAAACTGCACTGCTATAAACATGGGAACACATATATCACTGTGATATGTTCTCAGTTCTGGAAAAAATACCCAGGAGGGGAACAGCTGGGTTGAGTGGGACTAGGAGTCTCCACACTGACTTCCATAGAGGGTGTACTTGAAAGAGTAAGCAAAATCTAAAAGGTACAACAGACACAGTGAAAGGAAAAGAAACATCATAAGGAATAAAAAAGTAATGAGGGAAACAGGAAGATTGGAAAGAAAAGGAAAAAATCATGTACGTATATATTGACAGGATAGCTAAGATGATTGTACTACTAATTGCTATCAGCTTTTTGAAGGTAGCAGTTAATGCTTAAAATTTTTACTTTGACCAGTTTTATATGCTTACATCTATAATCTGAGCAGGTACGTGGAAGACAGCATGTGCAAGATAATGACCACTGTTGAATACCTATCTTATTTTTTTCATTGTGTATCACTTCTAATGTCTTACGAGTTTTCTATTCTCTTTTTTTTTTTTTTTTAATTTTTATTTTTGTGTGTGTGTGTGGCCAGCTTAGCCCACCAGGGGGCGGGGCTGGCT